CTTCACAGAACTGACACCCTGCCAGCAGCGAGAGCACAGGGTCTCCTGAAGCAAGATTAATCTCTAAATAAGTGAGGAAAAGGAACAACTGTGTCTAGAGTGTCTCAGCATCCTTGAACAGTTCAAATACAGTTGGTACATTGGGTTAAACTGCCTTGGCAGTGGTCTGTGCCATAAGCCCAAAGGCAGATGCATCAGTCATGGAAACTATTATATTGTGCCTTTTTACCTAGAAACACTCTAATTTTAAACCTAATGGTCTAATAGTGTGGCAGGAGCTGTGGTTTGTAAACAAGCAGGAAATCTGACTACAAGGAAAACCAAAACAACTGTTGCAAGCTTTGCTTGCCTTTCTTTTTTAAAGACAGGGATTTTGCAAAGATTAAATAGTCATCTAACTTGTGAGAGCTATGCAATGTAACAAAACTGATTTATTTCATTATCATTGGGCTTTGCACAGGCTCCATAGGAGGGTTGCTAAATAAAAAAGGTTCTCAGTTTTGGCATGAGATATGCACTTCTCAGGTAGGAAAATATGCATTTATCAACAGCTTTGCCTATCTGAAAATATTACTCTGTTGGAAAAACTATTTCTGTCATTTGCAGAAAGTGCATTATTTCAATTTTCAGCCACATCAATATCCTACTCTGTTTATGATTACTCTTATTATTTGTGTTGCCTCTCAACCCAATGATCCCAGCCATGAGTCAAGAAATGCATGAATCCAGAACAAAGATACAGTTGCTAAAAACTCACATTTAGGCTAGGAGCAGTAGGCAATAGATTGCACAGGCAGACAGGAAACATAAAGGCATATCAGCAACAAAATCAGTGCCTGCTTTCTGTCTGTATCTGGGATAGTTCCCACTGAAAATTTTCTTTTAAATTTTGAAAATAAACTTATTGCCTGTGTGCATATTTTCTGTTAATACCAAATATATGTAAATAAAAGCACATTTATTACTGTGATCACATATTTATAATTGCTATCATGAAATTGTTCAAGAAAAGGCAGAGAAAACACCCAAATTTAGGGGCAAGGGCATTCTCAAAGCAGCTTCTTCTGCTGGATTTATATGAAAGCATTCAAAGGGGCTTATATCTAGTGCTGGTCAGGGAGGCTTTGCAAGAGCAGAATTCAAAAAGGGGTTACAGCACAAAAGCTTTAGATTAGTTTTACTGACTGTTAAGAGGTGAGATAAAACAATTCATGAATTCAAAAAGATCAAGTAGGGAGGATGATCAATATGAAAGGAATTAGTGCCTAAGTTTTCAGATAGATGTGCCAGCATGCTGCTTGGATTTATAATTATAAAGCAATTAATACTTAGCTCAATAATAAATTATTAGCTGCCATGGAAACGACTGAAATATAAGGGAAGCTATTAAAGGCAACGAGATGGCCTGCAGGAGACAAAGGGAGGAGGCAGCTTATTCACCAGGCAGACTGTGCTCTTCCTGCAACTTCTTATGCCATCACACACCACTTTGAGATTGCTAAAGGAGAAATTGCAAACTGCCTGAACTCACAGAGCCAATTGTCAGGGTTTAGCAGGGCTTTTTTTGTGTTAAGATGATAATTTGATTATAGAGTCAGATATTTTTCTGGTGTAATCCTAGGGATATCACATATCCCTTTTTACCTGAGCAACTAGTTGAAGCAGCTATTTTCAAGAACTCGTGGGGGACAGGTAATGCCACTGAAAAGCAGAAAAGGAGAGTTAATGCCTTCTATCAAAAAGAAGAAATTGAGGAGCAAGAAAATTATAGGCTAGGCAGCTTAACTGCAGCTTCCTGGAAAAAAATTTGTGAACAAACAATGCATTTGTAACCATCTGGAATAAAATAAGAAGATTGTGAGCAACCAGCATGGATTTGTTCAAAGCAAATTATATCAAACCAGTCTAATTTCTTTCTGTAACAAAATTACGGACTCTGACTTAAAACATTGATTGCCCTGATGTCCTCATATGCAGACAAGGGAAGTTTGGTCAATGCAAACTACCATGTGACAAAATTTTGCCTGCAGATTATTGACCTGCATGTTGCAAAGTGGAGAGAAGTATCAAACAGGGCTGCACAAACAGCTCTGGATGCCATTGCCCTGAAAATCCATCACTGATTTGTTGGTGGAAGAGCACATGTCATTAAATGCAAGTAACATGGCATGGAAAGTCTGCCACTACTTTGGAAGACGGGATTAAAATTCACAGTGTTTACAGGGGATCCCAAAATCCATACGAATCAATGATGTCATTCTATAGTAAAAAAAACTCCAAGAAGACAACTGTGATACTCAAACCATAAACAGGCTTCAGGGCACATGGATGCAAAAAGCAGAAGTTCAAGACCATCCCTATCCCTTCTTTTGTGTGACTGACTACAGGACAGATAGACTGGCACCAGGCAAAGAGAAAGCCACTATAATTATCAAATATGATCAATGAAAACAGGTCTAAAGTTATGGTTGAACTTTAGGAAAAAACTTTCTAAGCTAAGAACAATTAAACATGCAATGAGCTGCCCAAGGAAGTTCTAGCTAGAGAAACTTTTCCTGGAGGTCTTTTAGGACAGCTTACAAAATTGTAATTAGGAATGTCATAGGCATAACTGACCTCATTTTCCATCAAGGAGGCACAACAGGTAACATCTTTGGGTCTCCTGTGGTCTTATTTTTCTAAGAGTTTACAATATTATTTTTCCCCCATTTCTAATCTCATCTGGATGAATTGTAAGGAATTTGTCTGGGGTTTCCAGACATGAGGCAGCCTTTTCCTGGCAGAAACCCTAGACTGACTACAGACATGCATACCCTCACAGGGCACATGTGCAATATATTGGATGCTTCTGCCAAGGACTGTTCTATATCCAGAAATCAACAGCACATGTGCAATAATCCATCACTTTTGGGAAGCATCAAACTTTATTGAATAGGCACTGGAACAACAGTGCAATATTCAGGGAAACTGAAGTCCCAGAAATCCTCCAATTCTTTGGATACAAGAGGGATGAAACAACAGGAGAAATATTCTTTGGTCACAACTCTAGGCCATCACTTTACCAAACAAAAGCAATCATTCTCTCAATACATATTTTGTTTCTCATACAGTTTTGCTACTAGCACTCCACTGGCTGCATCTGTGATTCCTGTACATCTTTAAACAAAACAAAAAAATCAACAATCTCTGCCTGAGCTCCTCTGTTTACTGGTTTCCACAATAACTTCTTCAATCACACACCTGAACTCTATTATTAGCATTCACATAGAGTACACAAGGTGATGGGGTGGTAATATTTTTCCAATTTAACTTAAACAAGGGAAAGTGGTTCTTCAGCTTCAAAAATATTTCTACCAGCATAACTGTATTTTGTCTTATGCTTACAGAATCAAAAAAGCAGTGATCTGCATCAGAAAAATCTGTAAAGGTATTTATACTAAATTAAAATAACATAAGGAATGTTACTGAAGATGGTTGCCACAGAACAGGGACTGTGCAAATAGTTATAAGAAGGAAGAAAGAATGCAGAGATGGTGGAGTCGTTGAAAATTCATCCTGAGCCATACTAGTATTGTTTAGATGGGAGCAGATAACCGAATCAGGTTCTGACAATTGCCCCTCTGACAGCAGCAGCAGCTGCATCACTGCCTTGCCTTGCTGAGCAAAAGCATGGGAGAAGGCAGTGACTAACTCCAGTCAATAAGCACACCCACTGGTATTGTAATACAAAAGAATTGATGGAAGGAGCACCAAAAAAAGTTTCTAATTGTACTAATGCCAAAATGTACCAGCAGAGATCAGTTCTGCATTCCAGCCCATAGGAACTGGGGTGCACAGTTGTGTGCAGCCCCCCTGAATGCAGCAGGGTCTCAGAAATTCTCAGGGAAGAGTAGGACCTGGTTTAATGCAGTCTTACCATGTGTCTAGATCTGAATGGCCCTGGATTTATATTTTTAAAAATATGCTTCCTGTCAAGGTATCTTGTCCAATGAGAACAATTCCTCATTGAATTGCAACAAGCAAAGCTTCTCTTGATTGGCCAAATGCCATCATCTCCTGTTTATAGCCACACCCATATCTGTTTACTTCAGGTGTTCTCTTTGTCCTTTTATATCAGCCTGAGAACAGTAAAAAACAAACCCCAAAGACAGCTCCCCTTGTCACCTGGTATCAGAAGGAGTTATCTTTGCATGAAGTTCTGCCTGCAGAGGATCATCACAGCAGATTTCTGTGTCTCCCATCCGAGAGGGGCAGGATCACCTGCACACACAATGCAAGTTACTGCTCCAGACCAACATGAACACTCTGAAATAGGGGATCCACAGCCCTATGGCTCCTCTCCTATTCTCTTCTGGCTTTTCCCGGAAAGAAGTACCACAGAATAAGGTACAACATGAGGAAATATGTTCACAGAAGCTAAAAAGAGAGTTGAGCTGTTTCTATCAGCACATCAGGGCCCTTTGGTTCAACGTGGCTTCTTTCAGCAGGTAAATTCTGTTAAATCCACAGCAAGAAACAGCCCAAGGAGGGAGGGGCTGGGGATGGCTGGTACCCCCAACCATACCCACACAAAGTGAAATGAATCACAGTTAGGGCACTCTATGCTCTAAGACATCTTTCAACATGGAAAAAGCGTAAGGGGAATGATGACCAAACAAGAAGGGAGATGCCTTCTTTCAGAAGTTCCTTTTTTCTTGGTTATTAAATCAAATCTGACCATCTTCTAAATTTCTTTTATCATCTTTCATTGAATTTTTATATAACATTTTCCATGTCCATATTACTTCCAATTTTTCATTATTGCTGCCCTATTTTTAACCTCACTCTTCCCAGAACTTGGCTCATAGATGTGATGCATAAATCACAAGGCTGTTCTGGCTAATCTTGTAACAAAAATGTAATTTATAATACTTTGCACAGAAAACAACAACACTCTCCACAAATGCCTCAGCATTGAAGTTTTAACAACCAAATATGTGAAAGAAAATCATATATCTTATCTGGCTATTAGTTTTGTATATCACTTTGCAAAGATCATGATCCCCCACCCAGGCTTCAATCTCTCCACGGATGAAAGATATGTGCCATTAACATACTTCTAGAAAAGGTATAACAGATGTTAGGATGTAGATAAAAGGTAGATGAAACAATGATTCAGTGTTGATTTGCTGGGTAGGAAGATGACCAGTCCTCATAAATCAAACAAAATCCAAGCAAGAGATAAGACAACCTGATGGAGTTAGCTGGCCTCATCATTTCTTACTGAGCTGTCTCTTTATTTCACATTTAATTCAAATGTCTGTTATTTCAACACAGCCAACTGCACAGCTCCAAATTCAAGTCATAAAAAGATGCCAAATATACACAAACTTGCTGACACAATAAACAATAAAGAAGGTACTGAGCACTTCACCAGATCCAAATGTTAATTGTCATCTTTTAGTTCCTACAGATAATATTTGACAGCTCTCTTCCTTTCACCTGAAAGCATGAGAAGCAGGCGAGACAAGAAAAGCGTCTCTCAAGCTGCTACACCAAATAATGTTTTGTGCCTCTAGAAAAGAAATGGTACAACTAAACAATTTTGAAAATATTCCATCCTATCATCACAGGACAGAGCTAATACAGACAAATAATTAGCTACCTTACATCTACCCCGTCCTTCCAGAATTGCTTTATCTCAATCACCGAAGCCTTCTCAAGGCACCAGCACTCTGATTTGCACTGCTGGCTGGTTTACAAACAAATCAGCCACATCATTTTCTAAAACTCTTTTTTTTTTTTTTGATGAGCATTGAGTAATGTCTGTAACACATATTTGATATGAGAGCTGCTCAGCATCATGAGTCAGTGCCCTCCTCCCCCAGCCCCAGCAGGAGTGACAGATCCCGGCACTGATGCCTCAGCTCAGGTTTCATTTCATTCCATTCCATTCCATTTCATTTCATTACACAGTGTAACAGGCCAATATCCACAGCTCAGGCAGCCGAGCCAGGAAATTCAAACTGCTGCTGCTTATTAAACATCCTGCCATCAAATCACGTTAGGAGCATTAAAATGTAAATAAATATGGTTGGGTCACTGGTTAGACTTCTCCTTAGCTCATCCTTAAAGTGCTTTGAGAAATCTTTTTGCAAATACCTCGGTGAAACACCAAAGGTTCTTTAAAGATGTTTGCCTTTGAAGATCCAGCTGCAACAGGATTAAATTTACTTTTACAGCAGTCTGTGGTTACAAAAAGACATCCTCCCATCTGAGGGTACCGGGATACCTAGAATGCATCCTAGCAGCTTTCAAACCATTGGAGCCAGCCAAGGCAACCAGCTTTTGTGTATGCCAAGGAGGTTAAAAAAAAAAAAAGTTTGAAAAGTTATAATACTGTTGAGGTGCTCCTGGTGTCCATCTTATACATAGAAGGGGTTGTGGAAATATATTCCAGTTTCAGTTGTGCCACCTTCAGGAAAGGAAGGCATAGGTGCCCTCTCCACAGGCCACAGAGTGTGAGGGTAAGGGCTGTTTATTTTTCATACATTTGCATATCAGACATATGCTCTATGCCTTAAATTTAGACTTATTCCAAATGAAGTCACTTCTACATCACATTATTTTTAGATTTTTTAAAGTTTAAAATAAATACAAGCCCAGGGTCGTGTGTAGACAGATATCTGAGTGAATGGGAAAACAGGATTGATTCCTTTGGGGCTAAACGCCTGCAAAAATCAAGATGCAGAGAGCCTTTAATAAAGTACATTATGTGGATGATCAATGCTGGCATTTTCCCACTGCTGTTCTGACCTAGGAGTGCCCAGCTGGGGAGGCCTTCCACAGCTACACTGTGGAAGAATTTGGGATCAAGGTGTGCTGAGCACTGGGAAACCTTCATGATTCTTGAGCTACAGTAACTGCACCTTAACCAACCCTGAGGGCTGGGTGAGTGAGCCCAAACATGATGTCTCATCATTTTAGCACCACATGTAACCTCTGCAGAGGATTAGTGTTAAACAATTTAACCAAGGACCTGGGATTAAAGAAATGCATTCTAACCTTGTAACAGGTATTTCACACACTCCTTAAAGCAATCACAATATATTAATTAACATATTTAAAGAGAGGCATTAACTACAATCTCATTATACTTCTGAAATCAACATATCTGGAAAAAAACGGGGAAGATGCAGGGTTATTATTTTCATTTATTTAGTGTCCTTCTCAAATATGATAATGCAGCTATGAAGCCACTTAGTAATTAGGTTAAGAAAATGGACTGGAACGAAGCAGAAGCAGCTCAAAATATTGAGTCAATGCCCAAAAAGTCAAGAAATTTCTTTCATTGAGCATAATGGCATCAGAACAAATTCTGGAAAGAGCTCAGTGCCTCTGAAATGTAAGTTCAAGGTTCATGCAGAGTGAAGTAAAATCATGGATCCCTAGAAATTAACACAACTTTAGCTGACCTTTACCTGACTGCCATGGAGGAGTGAACAGCTCCTTGGTTTCTATTGTAGAGGAAGCCCTGCAAATAAACAAATGGGGTTCCAGAGGTCAAAATGAAATAGAAACCTCTTTGTAGTGTGTTAACCTGTATATTTGTTTGGACAGGACACAAGAATGTGTTGAGAAGCAGGCTGAAATGAGCAAAATCTTTGGACCTGTGACTTGGAATATAATTCTATCAGCACCTGAATTTTTTTTGACATTTGGCAATGCTTTTTTCCTACAAGTAGAACGTATGGTATTTGAAATTCAGCTCTGGTAAGTAATCACACGTGGTTTCAGAATTTGCTTTCCATTAACATTAATGCCAATTCAAAAGCATAAAGGTTTGTAAAGGGAAAACAGGCACAACCACATCAAGTCACTCGAAAGTCAATCATGTGTGTATTCAAAATGCTTCTACAATCTCAACCCTATTCCTTTCAACCATCCCATTTCATGGTGGCTGTACTATTTCTGTTGCTATGGGTATGTACACTTTAATTTTCTATCACTATTAGAATTTGTGTTAAGAATCCACAAACATCAAAGTTCCATAATGAAATTCTCATCTTGAACATGTTAAAACACAGCTGTGAAGGGCAGCAAGATTAAACCCAGGACAGCGGGTTTGTAGTAACATCCAAGAAGCTTTAAACAGTATGAAAGACACAAGCTAAGAGGCTCAAAGTCAACTGTAAAACTCTCACTTGACTTCTTGATGCAAAGTTAAACAGGGCTACTATAAAGAAAGATGCTGCTGCCTTGGATTTCAAGTAGCATCTGTATTTCCACAGAAATGCAACATACTTCTATAGGAACAGAAGTGGAGAAAAATATATGAAGATTTCCCCAAGCAGCACAGTGATGAAGCCACAAGGGGAGAAAATATCAACAGGAACATGTCCCTACTAATAGTTAAAAAAAAAATATATAACAAAGCCTTAAGCAAAGCCTGGGATTTACACTGGACACCATGACTCTTACATCTTTATAATTCTTACACCACCACTTTTCAACAAGACTTGAGGTGGTTGTCTGAGTCACAAAGGCCAGCCAGGCTGAAGGTCCCTTGCCTTTGCCCCCTCTCACTTTCATTCCATATTCTCTCCATGTTTAGATCTCATTTGTGACAAAATTTTAAGATTAATCTGGACAGACTCTAAACATTAAGAAAGTTGCCCTACTATTATTATAACCCTTTGACTTCCTAGGATGGTGTCTTTAAATGTGTCCCAGGTTCTAGCATTTACAAAACCATAAGCAGGCCAGCTCAGAAATCTAATGGAGCTCAAAGCCTTGGATGTAATCCCTTGTACATTCAATACAGTTCATGATCCTTTCATGCATGTTTATTCATTTGTTCCTAGTTTTGCAATGTTAATGAAAACCAAACCCAAGCAAGCTTTATTAGATTTTCATTGCGAATATTTGCAACTGAGATGTAGTTAATTAAAATTAAAACAAAAAAAATATACCTTGCAGAGCATATTCACTATGGAAAATTATTTATGTATACTTTTCCTTGATCTCTTTGGCAAGGCCTGTGTTAAATCAGGATTTCAGAAGATGGGACTGAAATAATTTAGGACAGAACCACAAATTGGAAACTTGCTTGAAATTTTCATCATATTGTGGATAAAAGAGATCAACTCTAAATGAAAATTTGAGACATTTGTTTGTTTTCCTAACCCTGAATCTACTTTAGCTGATACCTGAAACTTGCCTAAAAAAGTCCTTTATCAAGAACGAGTAGCAGACAACACCATACTGCCACAATGACACTGCTTATTCCTACAGAAACAGCACCTGCATCACTTACGAAAACATTGGCATTTCATAATTAAACATAAAATTACTTGCTACAAAGGAATTTATTTTTTGTCATGGAAAATATGAGTTTTTATATCAGCATTAGTGAGAACAAACTGGCCATCTGACTGCGCATGAAGGAAAACAAATTGATCACAATAAAACTTAATTTAGTAAAATTGCACATTCATGTTTATTATTTGCTTTCCCTTTTTATCTCATAAAATAAAGCTGTGTACACCTGTACATGTCTTCTCGTCATTATTGATGAATGTCATGACATTAAAAGATCATATAAGATCTAAGGCTAGCTCTTATTTTAAGGGCACCTGCACTGGGAGAGGATCAAATCACAACAAAGTGAAAGGGATATATTTATGTCCTCCAAGGGTGTTTTTTGGGGTGTATCTTTGGGTGCTTTTGGGGTGTTTCTGGTGGGTTTTTGGGGATATTTTAGGGGAGTTTTGGGCATGGTTTGGAGTGGTTTTGGGGATGTTTTCAGGAGTGTTTTGTGGTGGTTTTGGGGTGTTTTTCACGTGTTTTCTCATTGGAATTAAGTGCACCTACAGAAACACGTTGCTGCCACTTCACAGCATTCTTCAGCACACACAGCACATGTCAAGGGCTCCAGCACAACTTCCCCACAAGCAAAATGCCCTTGAAGATGCTTATCCTAAAGGCAAGGTGTTTGTCCTAAAGGCAAGGATCTAAACAGGGCAGACCATCTGCAGTGGGGCTCTGCTGGACAAACCACAGCTCTGAGGGACACAGGAAAACCAGAATTTACCTACCGGCACAGCTTTTGAGGGCCAATGTTTAAGTGTAAAAACAGTGACTTGGGACAAAAGGAGGCACAGCTCATTTGTGCCACTTCTTGGACAGCAGCTGTGGCCACCCCTCCCTTCTGCTCTGCCTCAATGGGACATGTGGCCAAGGGGGACACGGAGGTGCCACCAGCTGCCTGCCCAGCAGACCTGGCAGCAGCCCCAGTGGAGACCAACCTCCCATCTGCACTGCCCTGCCTGGCCCCCATGCCTTGCCTGGGTTTTGTAACATCCAAAACTGCTGCCAAAGACCTATTTAGAAAACCCTTTAGCTTCCTTTTTCAGGGAATCCATACAAGCCAGGAATCATTTCGTCCAAAAGCAAATTTATCTTCTGTTAGTTTGGGGAAAACACCTTAACTATGAATTGTCTGTATCCAAAACTGCTGCCAAAGACCTATTTAGAAAACCCTTTAGCTTCTTTTTTCAGGGAATCCATACAAGCCAGGAATCATTTGGTCCAAAAGCAAATTTATCATCTCTGTTAGTTTGGGGAAAACACCTTAAGGCTTGGTGTAGAAGTTGCTCCACCCTCAAACCTCTCAAATTTATTCTCATTTACTCTTCTTTTGCTCCCATTGGGTCCATAAGGCCTGATGTATTTACACTAACACCTTTTCTTGCAGCTAGAGACCTCTCTGGAAATTTTGCCTTTATCACTCATGAAGCACTTTTAATAAAGCATAGTAAATCCTGTCCTGCTGGGTTCATTGTTGGTTTGGGGGTTTTTTTGGTTTTTTTTTTTTGTTTTGTTTTTTTTTTTTTGTGAAGTCATCAGAAAACATGAGAAATAAATGCATGAGTCCTCCAGAGTAGCAAATTTAATTGGTGTTTTTTTCCAGGCTCAGTAGGACAAGTACAAGTCATGTTTCAAGCTGAAACAAAAGGACTGATTTACAGCCCTTTTTCCTTTGATATCAAACTGGGATCACTTCATAGACATATGAATATTTTGAAAAGAGACTGACTCATATTTCAACCCTTTAAAGCAAATCACAAGAATGAAACTTTATGACATCATTTTAAAGCAATTGAAGGGTAAAAGTAGCTAACAGAAAATACTAATATCTGTTTAAAACCTTAGAAAATTAAATGGAAACTTTAATTGACTGCGTTTGGGGTTACATATTTGTACTTTCACATAGATGTAAAATGGACCTAATTGTAATACTCTAGCAACTAACATTGGCTTTACTTATTGATGATATAAGCTATTGAAAAATTAATAGCATTATAGCTTTCCAGGAAAATGGCAGGCTCTCTGGAGGAGCACAGCATAATGGCAGCTCAGTTTATTTTGAAATGTTTGGTTAGGGCTGATTCTTGGAAATGGCTCAGCTGTAAGCCCATACAAATGCAATCCACCAGTGCAGGATTGAGGAATGAAATCCTTTACCACACCTAGAAATGCAAAGCTTGATTCAAAACAGCTGTTTCTAAAGGTTCTATCATCTGCTCAGGAGGGTAAAATAACAAATAAAACCAGTTCTTACTCTTTGAAATTATGAAAGGTACCCTTATTTCACTAGGTGGTTGTTGATAGAAGCTTTGCTTGGTTTGTTGCTGTGGTTCTAATACACCTTACAAGTCACATCTATCCAGCAGGATTTCTGGAGGGGATCTGGCTGCCTGCAATATCTCTTCTTTAGTGTTAAGCTCCTGCTTGGTTTAATAAATTTTCTCTCAGCTTCTAAAAGTCATGGTGCCATTTTAGGACATGACTGTGCTAAAGAGAGAGCAAAGTGTACCAGGTAGCTTAGCTAAAATTATTTGCTACTGTGTGATGCATCTGTTACAGATTTTCCCCTGGACTGAGATAAGGTTGGAGCTGATTCATCTACAGATGAATACCAGAAAGTTTAAATTGGAAGAGGGGATTATAAAGAAAAAAAAATCCTTAGGCCTTTAAATGATGAACTGAAAATGAAATATGCCTCTCCAAGTGACTTACAGGGTTTACAGCCCTCAGGATATCTTCCAAATAATCACCTTTCAAAGTCCCATGTTTACCACAGGAAATTGCTCCTGGCCAAGACCTGTGTGGTGACTACAGACCACTCCAGCTCCAGGAGTGTGCCTTGCACTGCTGGCAGCATCTGGGAGGGCACCTGAGCTGTGCTGCTGCACTCAGCCTCCTCCTCTCCTCACCAGGGTGAGCCTCTCACTTGTGCACAAGTCAGGGAGTCTGGGTGCCAAAGTCCCACTTGAACAGACAAGGGGAGGAAACCATACAAACCAAAAAGCTTGGCTGTCTGTTACAGGACAGAAATCTTTCTGCTGAGATATTTGCATACTTAGGAAAATCCATCTCCCACCTTGCTCGTGGCTCATGTTCCCACAACCCACACCTGAAATGCCCACAGCTGACAGGAGAGCCCATGGGCTCCTGCAGGGTTGAGCCTCATTGTGTTTGCCAAGAGAGGGAATGGCATCCTGAGGAGGAGAAAGTATGTCAGTAGGACATAAAGCAGGGTCCAAAATTAGCCCGTGACCATCTTATTTTACCATCATCATCACTGCCTCCATGCATATGTTTTATCTGACAGAAGACACAAAGACTCAGCTATTCCTCAAGGCATTTTCAGAAGCGTTTGTTTTGAGCTTTTTCTCTTCCCCTAAGTCTTCAGCTCTAAAGACTGAGGGAATTGCTTAGGGTGACTCACACCCAGGCTTTACTAAAAGCATGAAACCCTGTGCTCTTACAGACACGCTTTATGTGAAACAGAGTTTTCCTGAAAAATCACTAGAAAAAAAAATGGAATTGCAGAAAATGGGAAGCCTATGCTCACTGCACCCCTGGATTCCATAATCATGGACTTCAGTCCAGAAGACCCTCCATTCAGAGCTCTGTACCTCCCTACCACACCACTAAGCTACATCACCTTCAGGAGAAATGCAATTTTGTGCATATTGCACAGCTCTGTGTGTACCACCATTACTGAGATCACATTTCACTTTAAATACACATATACTTTCTAAGAAAGACAGGCAAAGTGTTTAAAATTTTGCCCTGATTCTCCTGAAGATTAGTCATAATAAAGTAAGAAAAGTATTTCTTTGAATACTGCCATAGAGATTCAATGAGTCACTGTCCTATAGGTGCCTGGGAGGCAGCAACCAGTGGGAATAGCTGTTTTTACAGTAAACCATAAAAATGCATTGAGTTACAGAAGTAACTATTAGCTAAGCTGCTGAATCATACATCTCACACTGAAGCATTCACAATGCCATGATCCCCTGAGAATTTACCTCTTAAGCTAGAGCTCAGATGTGAAATCACAAAACCCAACAAACTAAGCACTATGGAAATAAGTTGGAAATTGAGGTGCAATCCTGCAACTTATACAGCATTTAATAGTTATCAGAATGAAGATTTCATGTTCACTAGAAAAAAAATGGAATTGCAGAAAATGGGAAGCCTATGCTCACTGCACCCCTGGATTCCATAATCATGGACTTCAGTCCAGAAGACCCTCCATTCAGAGCTCTGTACCTCCCTACCACACCACTAAGCTACATCACCTTCAGGAGAAATGCAATTTTGTGCATATTGCACAGCTCTGTGTGTACCACCATTACTGAGATCACATTTCACTTTAAATACACATATACTTTCTAAGAAAGACAGGCAAAGTGTTTAAAATTTTGCCCTGATTCTCCTGAAGATTAGTCATAATAAAGTAAGAAAAGTATTTCTTTGAATACTGCCATAGAGATTCAATGAGTCACTGTCCTATAGGTGCCTGGGAGGCAGCAACCAGTGGGAATAGCTGTTTTTACAGTAAACCATAAAAATGCATTGAGTTACAGAAGTAACTATTAGCTAAGCTGCTGAATCATACATCTCACACTGAAGCATTCACAATGCCATGATCCCCTGAGAATTTACCTCTTAAGCTAGAGCTCAGATGTGAAATCACAAAACCCAACAAACTAAGCACTATGGAAATAAGTTGGAAATTGAGGTGCAATCCTGCAACTTATACAGCATTTAATAGTTATCAGAATGAAGATTATTTCATGAAAGTGACACAGAATCAGCCTCTGAGCAGGAGGCATGTTAATTTATGAATCAGCAACACAGCACTATCAAAGAGAGGTATAATATTTGGGATTTCATCTGAATAATAGCATACTGAACAGCAAATTTCATCATCCTTTGCTGTTATATTCATCATCAACTCAAAGTGGATTCCTTACACTTATTCTTCATTTAGGTCTTTCTGTTGTGGATTGTTCTGCAAAATTTTTGTCACTTCTGCAGTAACATGGTTCCATCACAGAGGTAAAGCAAGCCTTTGCTAAGGATTTAATCAGTGGATGCAGATCAGAAGAAAAATACTTATAAAAAACTCACACACTCTTGGCTTCTACTTTGAATTTTGCCTTTTGTCGTAACACACAGAGTCACAAGAGCAAAACCAGCACAGTCCAGCACAATACCTGACATTATTTTATTGTGCTTCTCTGGCAGCTTGCAGAAATCCTTCATATCATATTTATCATCTGCTCTAGAATCATTGAGTGACACCAGTCTCAGCTACTTTTTCTGACAAGATTTTCAAGGCCTCATGATCAACAAGCTATCTCAAGACCACTGAGAAATCCAATTAAAGACAACTTCACTAGAAAGAATAGCAGATTTCCTCATTTACTAAAGCAACTAAATGGCACAAAATATGTTTTAACTAACTTGACATTTTCAAGATCATCTGCACCTGTGAGGCTGCTCTTGGAGACTCAAGCCTTGGGTTGCATGTTGGCTGCTGGACTCTGACAATGGGACTCAGCTGTGCAAGGATCATTGTTCTGCAACCTTTTATTGGAACTGAAAGTGTATTTTGATATTGGGCTGAAATTCATCTACAACATTGGCCTGTGGCTAATCATTGACAAGAAAGCTGCAATGACAGAAGTTCTCCGAGACAAAGAAAACCCTGGGACTGAAATTTACTGTAAAAAAATTTAAACTAAATGCACAGCCCTGGAATGTTGTTCCTTTAAAAGTCATCAATTGCTTCTTAAACTCTCTTAAATTACCATAAAAGCATGACTAAAGTTGAAAAAAATCCAATCAAAAGAACCCCCATGACAAAAGTAGCTTCTTGCTTTAGATAATATTTCTGCTCAGTAGAGAAAAATGTTCTGAGCAAACAAGAGATTGTAGATGATTCAAATTACAACTGTACACATAAGTAATTAAAAAAATTATTTGTCCTAGAAAAATGACTTGCACTCCAATGAATTGAAATTTGGATTATAAAGCTCGATTTTATTATGAATCCTTTATCTTTGTTACAGGCATGTCTGCCTAAGTGTACTTTGTACTCCTAAGGGATTACTTTTAAAACACAAGAGATTTCACCCTAGCTACTTTTCCCTCAAGAAATCTTCTAAAAAAGCTCCTCACAACAATAAACAAGTCAGAAGGTTCTTCTCTTGGCAAAATTATTGATTATGACTTTCAAGGATTAAAGCCTAATATATACCCCAGAAATTGAACAATTATATTTTGATGGCAGTTAAGTAGGTATTCAGACAGCAATATCTCAGAGATATTGATAAGTCTTTTTCATAATAGGACAGAGAATGCACACTTACAACTGTACAGGTCACAATCCTGCTCTCCATCACCTCATTCTTACCAGAGCACTTCCCAATTTCCTGCTATTAGATCACAACAGCCCTAAGGAGATCTACCAGAACCGTAGGTGATATTCAGCCCAGGCTGATGATATTCCCTTGGGCCTCTCCTGCAGCTCGGGGCTGTGCTGTGGGGCTGAGGGCTGCCACCTCTGCCATGCCACCACCCCTGCCCCAGCAGGAGGAGGCTCCTAAAGGAAGGAAATCTGCATCCAGCAGCAGCCTGTGCTCAGCACCCCTGAGCCCAGGAACATCTGCCCACATCTGGCAGCAACACCAGGCAAACCCTTCTGCCAAAGGGGGAATTACACTCCTTGGGAGTAAAGGCTTTTGACAGGTTTTTGCTTGAGTAATTTCTGTGGAGGGCTGGTTGACCTTGGAAGATCACAAGGTAATAGGAGAACTAATATATGAAATTGCATGAGGGAAGACACAAGACAGCAAGCAACTGATTAGGAAGAGGACTTGGGGACTGTATCAAGCTTCAGTGCTTTTCTTAACCTGGATTTGATTTTATTAGAGACATTACTTCTTTTTCTTTTCAAAAGATTGATCCTTGTATTTCAATGACTATATGAAAATTCTTGCTATTCATCCATTTATTCTCATTGGTGCCATGCCTAAGCACCTCTGCCAAACTGCCTAACACACACAGATCTCCCATGCAGGGCTTTTACACAAGGGACAGGCATCTGGGGCAGCAATTCACAGGTTAAGGCAGCAATTCATAGTTATACTGCTGTTACTGCCAAGAAATGCATCTCCCATTCAGTCCCACCAAGAGGTTTCAGAAAGTCTCTTTGCTTCTCCCAGCAACATCAAATCATACAAAATCACACCTTACCTTTTCCAGAGGGCTTCTCTCAGGTACTCACAGCCACAATGTTACTGCCTTGAGACTGGAGAAGAATTTCACCAGCAAAACCTGCCTCATTGAGTAGGAGCAGACCCAGAAGTAGATTGAATGCAATTCTTCTTGACAGCTTGAAACTTTTACCCTCTCCTTTCTCATTGACAAGTTGTACTGTAAGAAAGACAATAGACTCTTTCAGCATCTGTGTAAAATTACTCATTTATGCATTTATGAATGAAATCATTTAGGAAATGATACTTTGCCTCTGGGAAAGTAGACTAGCAAACTTGAATAAATGTAATTACTTGCTTGTTAGTTATTCCTCAAGATGGATAAAGGTTTCTGAAAAATCTTGACGTGGTGTGGGAGAACAATTAGATCTACCCTTTATCGCTTTTATTACTTCCTACACAATCTTCTATTGCATTAATTCCAGGAAAACTAGGGTTTTTCTTTTAAGATTTCTTTTCTTTTAAGATTTCCCACCCATGTGACCATGGCAGCAAGAGCAATCTGACCAAAGCTGGTCCAGGCACAGTGGTAATTGCAATAACCAGCATTACCAAGACCTGCACAGATTTACAAGAGCATTTAACAACCACCAGCACCGAGCTCCCAGAGCAGAGCCCGACCTTTCTGAGTTTTCATTCAAACTACTGACACAGAACAGCAAAGATTTCATTTTGACTTCTCCAAAGAGTAGAACACAAGCTGCAATTATTAGTTACAAGAATACAAAACCTTAGCTGGAAAGTTCTTTAATTGTCCTTTTTTTATGAAAACAATTTTATCTCGTGAAGTAGTTTATAAACATTCGTCTTATCTGCTACTGGGGTTGTTAGAATAATTTTTTGCTTAAAACAGTTAAGATTTTTAGATAGATGAATTAAAATCTACATTTTAAAAAATAACCTCAAGTAACCTGCTTTCTGCTCAAATTAGCATTTGCCTTTGAAAATTGTCTTTTCCACTTTTGCTTCAAACAAAAGACATAAAACAAAATAAAAATACTAACAGGGTTTTTAAATAACTCACTATTTTTTGTTTAGTTGTTATGAAATCCAGACAAATCCTCCTTATATTGAGTTAGTCCATAACAGTTCACTGAAAACACTTCTGGAAAAAATTCTGGTTTTATTCAAAAATGTGCACTAAAGCATTTGGAATCGAGCAAATCCTACCTTAATGCAGAAAGCACTGGAGCAGACTTTTAAATTTCCTTACATGATCCCAATAAGTAAATTGTAAAAATAAAGTAAATCTCATGTGTATTTGCAATATTGTAGCTTTGGGCCCCTGACCACCCAAATGTGTCTGCAAACTAGAATGACCACACAGAAAGCAGCAGCACAGAAAAGACCAAAAAAGCCAGGTCTAATCTCCCACACACGAACTATTTTCAGCCTCCAGTTCACACTGTTAAAAATTATATTTGTATTCACAACCCATGGTTTTTTTTCTTAATGTACTGGTCTGAAACACACACAACTGGATTTGAGAGAACACCATGAAGAGGAAAGCATAAATGAAGCAGTGAAAGCTGTCTGTCTACTCTGTAAGCCCAGAATTTCTTTCAGGAAACCAAATTAATACATTTTAATATCACTGATTATTATCAGTGATTATTAGCACTTATTATTCAATACATGTCAATATCAGTGCAGAACATCATCTTCTGCCTCTGAGACACAGAGGAGCACACAGAGCCCACACCACAGCAACTGAGCACAGCTGCACACAGCCTGGCACTCGCCACATTGGAGCCACTCAGGTCACTTTCTTTCCTTGTACTCTTCATAAAAGGAAGAGAAAACTGGAAGGTAAAACAAGAAATTTGTTTTGAACAAACTTTTTTTTTTTTTAATTTAATGCTCCTTTTTAATTTAAACACCTTGGTCAACAGACGTTCTGCCCACAAAAATGTTTTTCAAAATGAAAGAGAAGGAATTAATGAGGTGACACTGGCATCACCACATCTGTTGACAAACTTAAAGCAACAGGGAATGCTTTTTAATTTCTCCTGTTCATTCCTTGCCAGGTTTCAAATTTTTCTTGCATTTGGAAAAAAAAAAAAAAGAAAATTAAACACACCACCTATTAAAAGCAATTCTGCCAGCCTTTAACAAAAGGTAACACTCTTTTCTTCATGTGTATACTCTTTGTAAATGATTAAATATGCAAGAAATTCTTGTGGCTGGTTATGTTTAAGTTGCTTGGCCCAACAATAACATTGTATTTTTAATAAGAAAAAATAAACCCCTATAGATGCAAAAGGACCAAATCCAAGACCCAGATTTATAGAGCCCACAGAGCAAAGAGGAAGGTGTGATATAACAACCAAGAACCACCAGTAACAAAAACCTCCAGGTGGTGCAAAGCCACAGGACCTTGCAGAGGACCTACCACCTCTCTCTTTACTTGGGAACCTTTTCCCCTCCAGCACAAACAAATTCAGAACAACAGAAAGACAACCAAAACAGGAACAGCTTTTCACCTTCAGCCATATCTATGAAGTTCTCAAAGAAGAAATGATCAAGGATTTTACTCACTGTGCAAGTTTAATATTTCCCAATATTACATACTGCATAGCTGTACATTATACTGGAGCACTGATTTAATTTGATCTAATTCTGTGTTTTCTGACAGCCCAAACTAGCCTGGTGGTGACATAGATCACTGTTTTAATAAGTGAAAGGTCCCAGAATTGCTGGGAAAACAAACTAAATAAGGAGGTGGCTCCCTTAGAAGTGCAGAATTCAGCTGGTGGCTTTTAAAAGCATCTAGTTTGTAACTGCTGGCTGCATTTTGTCACTGAAAGTGATTGCTTTGAAGATGAACAACAAAAACAGGAGTTTCTGTCATCCGATTCACACAATTACTTTTAATGTCTGTAGTTACCACAGATCTGTTGATTGTTGACCAAGCTCTGAGAGAAGGTAAGCACAAGAAAGTGGTTTAATTTATTACCTGCACCTTGGATTTCCTTCTTGTGCAACAATATTGCTATCTTGCTTCTTGTTTAGCATAAATCCACTTAGAAGTATGTTATAAACAGCAAGCTATTGTTTATAAATTGAGTGATGATATAAACACTGAAATGAAATACATCAGAGAAAAATGGAGAGAAAATGTGGTTTGGTTACATATTAGAGAAATGCTATATTTCCAGGCATAGGGCTTCCAGTATTATGTTTTAGAAGTGCTATTACTGTAACTTGATGGAGTTCAAAATGCCTATTTTCCAGCTGGCATCTCAAAACATTTGCACTTACTCCATCTTATAACAAACCAAACTTAGGAATATTTCTTCTCCTGCAGATGCCCTGAAATGACCTAAATCCTTCATTTGGCCTAGAAACACAATAAAGCATACAAGACAATTTCCAGAAAGTGTTCTTTTGACTTTTTAGGATCTAAAACTTCTTAATCCTACTACATCTTCCATGCTGGAAGCAGACCAGCCCTCTGGCTACAACAATTATTCCTCTTTACTAAGCACCATCAGCATGCCTGGTTCTTAAAGACACCGTAGCAATAACTCAGCAAATAGGAAAACAAATATATCAAGTTCCAGCCATGAAATATTGCTTGAAAGACAGACTGGCACAGCCTAATCAGGTGTTTGCCCTGTTTAGGAACCTGGTGGACAGAGTTTCCTGGGAGGCAGAATCAAAGGGCAAAGGATTCCAGAAATTATTGCAGAAATACTGGATGTTCTTCAAGAAGGAAGTCTTGAAAGGTGCAGTAGTAGGACATGTCCATGTGCTGGCTGGATAAGGAGCCAGCAGGAAAGACGTAACCAGAGGGCTAAACAGAGGAACTCCAGCAAAAAAGGAATCTATGACCTTTAAAAGAACTATATAATAGGGCAACTTAGGAAGACTAAAATGATGTAGTAATGTTATGGAAGGGAAAATTAGACTGGCCAAAGCCCAAGTAAAACTTGCTCTGGATAATACTATAAATTATAATACAAATATTTCTATAAATACATTATCAATAAAAGGAAGGGTAAGAAGAATTTCCATCCTTTATTGAATGTGGGAGGGAACTGACAGAGGAAAAGGCTGAGGTATTTAATGCCTTCTTTGCCTCAGTCTTTTCAACTAAGACAAGTTGCTCTGCAGGTACCCAGCCTCCTGAATTAGAAGACAGGGATGGGGAGCTGTAAGAAGCCCCCACAACCCAGAGGGAAATATTCAGTGACCTTCTACACCATCTAGACACTTACAATTCTATGGGGACTGAGAGAGTTAACAGCTGGACTTGATCTTAAAGGGCTTCTCCAACCTAAATGATTATATGATTCTAGGGTTGATGCCACAATATTACTCATCCTTTACTAAAGACTACAATACAAGCTACAAAGCACAAAGAGTCTTCTTGTTTCTGCCTCTTTTTTTTTTTTGTTTCTATTTTTCATCTTAAACAAACTTGTCTTTCTTAAAGCAATGCAATAACTTTTTCCTCTTTGGTTTAACTTTAGAGTGGATATGTCAGCCAAAAAAACACCACCAGCAGTGGGTATTGATTTCTTTAAAACTCTTCCTGGTCTGACCAAGCTCCAGGACATGTAGGGGAACAAAAAAAAGAAGCTCCTCTCACATTAACTGTGGCATTGCATGTTCAGCACACACCACTAACTTTGCCAAACTGCTGAACAACATCCTTTAAAGGCTTCAGAAGGCTGCAAAGGTCTGCTACTCCCCTTCCCAAGGTGCCAGGGAGTTCATACAAGTCAGCAGTTGCACAACCTCATTCATGCTGGATTCTGCTCTCTTTTGGAATAAAAATCGCCTTTAACATTTTAATGAAATATGTATCTTCCCCAAAGTCAGTTACTGGAGGAAAAGAGTGTTTCTCCACACCTCTCAGTGGGTGTTGACCTCAGCTGAACCTTTCATGACTCACTGCTGTCCAGAGAATGCAACCAGAGACAACACAAGTGATTTACTATTCCTGTGCCTCAAGCCCTGCCCTCAGTAGGGCACCACTTTAGAGAGTGGAGGTCGTGTTTGTGACCCTGCTAAGCAAAGGGTGGCTCAGCAGTTGGCTGGTTTTTAAGTTATATTTTACACCCAGAGTTACAAACAACTGGTACAAGTACAGCAGCTATGATGCACCACCAAGTCAGCCAAGTTCTCTGCTCAGAACCAGTCTATCAACAGGCT